TTTTAGTCCAGCAAAAGTAACAAAATTATTTGTAAAACTAATTTACCAGCTGTAAGAATCTCCCTCTGAATAGGTTTTTCCCACTTGACTGCCAATTTTTGGTCTTTTGAAATTACCGGATGTGCTGCTTTCATCCAGAGATCTTGCTCATTTTCTTGAGAGCAGTCTCAAAATCCCTGATTTTGCGTAAAGATAATTTCCCAGTGTTTCAATAAGAAACGTCCTTATTCGAGGAAATCAATAATCTCCCATTTGAATCATCCATCTTCACACATCATAAAGCCATCTAAACCAACCATAAAACCATCATAAAAGCAACAGCATGATGTAAGACTGTCATCGTGCCGATATGCTGGGAGCCACAGGCCCTTGCAACAATGCAAGGGGAACCCACGCTTAGCTGGAGACATTTCAGGAAGCCTGCAGGCTCCTGATATGTCATTCTCCAACTACACTAAAACCCATTGGACCAGCTGGACACAAATGGAGATCAAATTATCAGATCTTGGCTCTCAGCAATGTCAGCTTCCTATACTGGCTATATTGCCAACGTCATTCACCTATTGAACAAGCCCCTTGTTATTTTTACTCAGAACAAAAATACTGTTGTCATGTCCAAAGGCTACATTTTCCCTTTTGAAAACACTCTTTTTCATCCTTTGCATTTTTAAAAAATCCTTTGTCTGCATTCTTTTGTGGTCTGAGGCTCCTGTATCTCAGCCAAACACTGATACATTCATTGCAGGCTTCAGCTGCTTTGCAGAACCTGAATAGACACTGAGGCTACACGGGCGACTTCAATTAAGCAGCTCTATAGAGCTGATATTTTCTGTTGAAAAACAGTGTCTTTTTGCAGGGCCAAACAAAGTGGCAATTTCAGGGATGCAAATCAGAACAAAATACTTAAAAAATAATAACTGCCAGGCAACTAATTGTAAGCATCCAGCAGAGACTACAAAGACACATTTACCCAGTTGTTTTTTTCTTTTACTCTGCCATTGTGAAATCCCAAGCATGTACCTTACAGCAAAGATGCACATGATAAAGTAGAATTTCAGCGAGAAATTTCCAGATTTTAACCACCAAATTGCAGACTTTTTGAGCCATAAAGGTTTGTTTTCTTGCAGAAGTGTAGCTATGAAAATATACAAAAGTCTTTTTATTCCTACGCACATGTATGCAGCAGAGATTCTCACTGAAGTACAAGAATGCAATTATTTTTCCTTCACCCTGCTTGTAAGACACAAATACATTATGCTTCAGGAAGGGCTTTAGAGCAGCATATGCCACACGTGGATGTGTTCTCCTCAACTACCTGAGAATACAGCAAGTGCTATGCTTCTTTTTTGTTCTTCTTTTTTTTTTTAAAATAAAACTTTTGCAGTTTTTTTCTACACATGTACTTTTTCTTCGCCCTTTGTTTCTTTTTGGTAATTTCTGTCAGCTTATTTGCTGAAAAGTAAAAGAAGAGCTTTGTTCATTCACTTTTGGGAGAGAACTTCCCACATGGCTTTAATTCCTGCTGCACTTGAAACTGTTGGACTGTTGGGTCCAATTCATCCCCTCCTCCTCTTTGTTTCCTTCTTCCCCTGGGCCCGCAACCCAGCAGAAGTCTTTTTTTTTGTGTGTGTGTGTGTTCCAATCTGAGCCAAATTATCGCAAATTACTCTGTCTGGCCTAGGCTATTATTAGACCAGCCAGCAACTGTGGCTCTTTTGATTATTTCAACAGCTGGCTTTGTTGCTTGTCTGAAGACCCAAAATCACAGCTCTCTCCTCCCCCTAGAAACTGCTTACCCAGATAAAGGGCTGTGTCAGGATCTGTTCTGGGACTGCTAATGTGGATCTGACATCGCTGCTCAGAAGCACTTCGTCAGAGCCCATCTATCTCCTGCAGACTTGTTAAAGCCTACATCCTTCCAGGTTACCTCCATTGATTACATGCCTTTATCAGGTGTCAAGCTGGTGATGTGATGCTGCGTTTGACAGAACTAAAGGTGTTGATCACTTGAAAATACCAGTGTAAACTAGAAGTGAGGCACAGCTCAGGGCGGATGAATGAGTGCATCTGGCAAGCACTCGCTAGAAAAGAATTACTTGTAAGAAATGGAGCTCTAGGCATCCAGCCTCTGTCTCCACTCCCTTAAAGTCCATGCATATGGGCAGATGTTGCAGCTGAGAGAAGTGAAGAGTATTTGAAGGTACTGTCTTACACATTCCTTTATATTACCCTGGATACACTTATTCTACAGGCATTTAAAACCTAAGAAACACCTCTAGCTTGAATGCTTGTTGCATTTGTACACTGGCAGTATGGGTACACCTACAGACAACTGGCAGTATGGGTGCACCTGAAGAACTCTAGCCACTGGTAAGCAACCTTCTTTTGGAGGCAATGTGCATTATTGAATGTTTTTTGCAATAAATGTTTTTAAAAATATGATTCAGGTATTTCATGCAATGCTGCCTTGCATATTTATTTTGTTTAAATGCTGGGAATTTTTACTTGTTTCCAGTAGTACTGATTGGAAACTGTTTCCAATAGTGTGTTAGTTATTGCTACCTGACTCTTGTATCCACATACGAATTGTGCAATAGTTTGATTTCTTTCTTTCTGGGGGAAATCAGTCCTCTGTCAGTTCCAGGCATTTCTTGAACGGCTCCTCTAGCTCAAAAACCCACTTCATGTCCCAAGTGCGTTTCCCACTGGCAGAACTTGGTATATGGCCAAGCGGTTGCTTCAGAGATTTCATCACTTTATGTAATTTAGGTATTTCACTTTCATTTTTAAGTAGGACTTCCCCTTTGAACGCTAAGCAACTCTTTGTGACCGTCAACACTGAATACACATGATCTTTTCATACTTTATATTTGAGATTTTGGGGAATGTTTTCTTAGTCATAGCTGGAACTACTTTTTCAGCGTGTTTTTCTTAGGCCTAAGATGTCTCCAAATGTATTTTTCAGTTTTACATGCATGGAAGCCTCTGTGTTAAGTTCAGCAACAGCAACAAAAGAAGGTTTAATTCAATTAGGAATTGGAATTCCTTCATTAGAAAGGAATTTTTCACAGAAAGAGTGGTCGGACATTGGAATAGGCTGCCCAGGGAGGTGGTTGAGTCACCGTCCCTGGATGTGTTTAAGGGACGTTTAGATGCAGTGCTAAGGGACATGGTGTAGGGGAGGACTTTGTAGAGTAGGGTAGATGGTTGGACTTGATGATCCCAAGGGTCTCTTCCAACCTGAATGATTCTATGATTCTATGATTCAATTTTCTGGGCTCTTTGAAGTTGTGTTATATTGTATGGTACATATCTGTTTTTATCTTCCTTGGCAATTTTACATGATAGCAAGCTTCCTTTCCTTCCCCTCCCAGGAGGAGGAGATATTCTGGAAGTGGAAAACGGATGGTCCTTGTCACTTTTTGTGGTTAGTGGAGTTTTGGAACTGAAAACAGGTGCTGCAGTTTGGCTCCACAGCGAAGAACTTGAATACAAAAAAACACATACTCTTCTTTTTACATTGGAGATTGTCTTGTCTCTCATGCATGCACATACCAGCAACTTCCCTCTCTTCTGCTGTTCTTCCTCATACTTTCTGTATTGGAACTTCTTATTTTGTGTTTTTCATTGCAGGTGAGGCTCGGTGGCACATCCCTATGGCATACCTGTGTGACAGTGCACCACTAAGGAACCTTGTAACCAATTGGTCATCCTATACGAGGCAGACTGGTCTTGCATTGAAATCTGTGAGGTGAGATCCTTTGACTGACCACGCAATCCAGTCACGCAGAGATCATCCGCAGCATGAGGCTGTTGAGAACACCTACCTGTGGTGCAAGGTTTGATTTCTCTGCTGTATAGTCCTAATGTACACCCAGTTTTATGTCTGGCCTCGTATCCTCTTATAGTATAAAGGCTTCTTCTGAAGTGTAACTATTACACCCCTTGAACACTAAACGTTCCAGTGAAAAAGCCTTTTGTTAAGGAGCAACGATTGTAAAGTCAAGCACTGAAACACTAAAAAATGCATCAACAATCATTTGTATTCACACATTATGGTATATTTTTCAGGTTTGTGATCGCATGCATTTTTTTCAACCTGCATGATCTGCTTTACTCAGTGTAGAGAGTAGATGGTGCTCAGTGAGTCAGCGCAGATATTGCTCAACATTGGGATTACTCAATGTTTTGTTGTATCTTCCTGGTCTAATTTGTGGTCACACACTTTATTTATTTACTGTCCCTTATCCACCTGCTCTGAAGCTGAATTTAACTTCCTTATGTGCTTTCTTAAAGGGATGCCTACTACAGGGTAATCTGTAAAAACATTTATGGCTTGGTTTTACAGTAACCATATGACGTGAAGAAACAGGTTGGACACTTACAAGTCAGGTGTAGTTTTAGCTTGATTTTTTTCTTTTTTTTTTTTTTTTTTCCCTGAGCCTCAGCTGCCCATACCCAACCTGAAACACGGCCAGGTGTTTCATATCACTTCTGCGCTGGAAGGGTGCACCTCTCCAGCTTCAAGTGCGTCCCGGGAGTGCTTTAAACCACCCAAACCAACCCCACGCCAAGAAACACATCCTCCTGACCGCTAATTCCAGCCGGCTGCCCTTTGAACGCCTGCCTGCCCGCCTCAGCCCCAAACCCGTGGGCCTCCCCGGTGCTCCGGGGGCTACCGGCTTGCCTCCCCGCCCGCAGCAACTGCCCCTTTCGCCTCCTCACCCTCGTCGTGAGGGGAGGAAGAGCTCGCACCCCCCTCGCCGCAAGCCCTTTAGCTCGGAGAGGGGGGGGTTCGCAGGCCCCTCGCTCGGTACGGCCGGTGACCACGGGGCACGGCGAGGTGCCCGCCGCGGCGGAGCGCTGCCCGGCGGCGGCCGCCAGGTACCTCCCCCCACCGCCGCCGCCTCCTCCGCCCCCTTTTGTGCCGGTGCCAGGCGGCCGCCGGGTTTCCTGCTGACGCCGGAGAGCCGCGGATGGGCAGGAAAGGCCGCCGCCGCCGCCTCTCCTCCCGCCCGCCGGCTCCCGCCTCGCCCCCGCTCTCCCCGCCCGTAGGAGCGCGGCGCGGAGCGGCCCGGGCTGAAAGCTCGCTGGGGGACGCGGGGCGGAGAGGGCGCAGGTGCGGGGCGGGCCAGGCCCCGGGGATTGCGGGGGCCGGGCGGCCGCGGGCGGACATGGCAGCCCCCGCTTCTTGAATGCGTTCGGCCGCCCCCCCGCCGCCGATGGCCGAAGCCTGGAGGTTGGAGGAGGACGAGGAGGAGCTGCGGGAGCTCGGGAGGAGGCACCGGAGGGTCGGCCTGAGCTCGGCGGCAGGTGAGGGGCGGGGGGGCGGCGGGCCGTGGCGTCGCTTGCTTTGGGTTAGCCCTGGCCCGGTCCGCCGGTCTGAATTCCTGGTCAGGGGCTGGGCGGCCTCGGTGGTGCCGCCCCGGTGGGTGCCGCCCCGGCCGGCCTCGCCCGAGGTCGGGGCAGGTCAGCCCCGGTGCAGCATCTGAGCCACGGGCAAGCGGGATCCCCCCCGGGATCTCCTTCCCGGGGCTCAGCCCCACTCCTTCTCCGAGCTTGGGCTAGCGTTGGGCACACACCGTCCACCAGAGACACTGTCAGTCGCTTAAGGTGCCATATCAGGAAATAAAATACCGATTTTTCTCGAAAGTACCGAGGTGGAGGAACATCTAGATATCAAGGTTGTCCAGGGTTGTTATATGGAGGTACGGGCAGCAGGCCTGGCCGAACAGGAGGCAAGAATCGGTGTATAGGAGAGGGAATGTCTTCAAGCTCCAGCAGGGTAGGTTTAGATTGAACATTAGGAAAGAATTTTTCACCGAAAGAGTGGTCGGGGATTGGAACAGGCTGCCCAGGGAGGTGGTGGAGTCACCATCCCTGGCTGTGTTTAAGGGCCGTTTAGATGCAGTGCTAAGGGACATGGTGTAGGGGATGACCTTGTAGAGCAGGGTAGATGGTTGGACTCGATGATCCCAAGGGTCTCTTCCAACCTCGACGATTCTATGATTCTATATGAGAAGGCATGGAGAGAGGATCTTGGGAGCATGTGGACTGGTATGTCTTTATAGAGAGGCTTGGAGGTCACAACAGGCTTTTATTTGAAATGATGAAGTCCAGTGGATCCTGGCAGCAATTGAAAGTATTTAATTCAAACCTCATTGTTAACTGAGGGGCGATGTGTGTAATCACCTTCCTGTAGTTACTGAGGTGTAAATGCAGCGTTTTCTTGTCAGTGTAAAATCCTTTCCAGAATTAATTCTTTTCCTAAGGTCTGTTTCCATGGAAAATCTCGGCCCCACTGCATACTTAAAATTGAATTCCAAACATTCTGATTTTTAATAATTACGATACAACCTTAACAGTATAGTCATTTCTGCAGTTCATGTGGGTTTGGATCCATTTGAGCAACAAGAAATTGAGTGTCCCCTCATAGATGACAAAACTACAGCAATTCGAGGGACCGCAGAGGAGAAGGTGCAAGAAGCAGGCCCTATGGCTTCCAGTGACCCTGGTTTTGCCACTGCATATCTGGGCAGGTGCAGGATTAGCAGGAACCTATTGAAACCATTGTGGCTTGGCATGTGTGCAGGGTTTCACCTTGTCTAGGGTAGGGTGCAAAAAAAAAATAAAAATGAAGGTCTTGGTTCCTGAATGGTTTCTTTAATAGTGAAATGTTCACACTGCTAGTTGTGATGTCTGGTTTTATAAAAGTGTTTCTTTTGGAGATTTTTTTGTTAGCAGAAAACATGTAATTGGTTCTACAGTTTATGTATGTCTATAATCTTTTCCGCCTTCTTATGGAACAAAGTTTGTTCCCAGAGTTTGTCTTTGGCACAATGCTACCAATCAGTCATAAAGAGCCTACGTCCTTTTTTGTTTTTATTATTGTTTTGTCCTGACAACACCCCTTTGAAATGGGCCCGGCACTGTTTACCTTGCTACTGCAAAGTAGGTGTGAATGAATAGCATTCTGCTTTAGCTGTCCCGCCTTCTTTCCATCTGTGTGCTAGACTCCACAGTGGAAAACAGCACAAGGACTATCAGCAGGAGCATTCTTAAGGCATCCCTGAAGAGTATCACCCCAGGTGGATGAGTTTGCTGTTCTTCCCTTACTTGACAATTCTGCTATACCTTTATTTACAAACCTATTGAAAATAAGTGGGCGGGTTTTTTTCCATGTAATATGCAGTTACACTGCCAAAATGGTAATGTAAAAAAGGTGTTAAACAAGCCTGTTGGATATTTTTGCAGGTTTTAAGAAATGTAGTTGCATCTTAGCAGGCTGTCAATTTAAGCATTTCAGTCTGTTAAACTAATGGTGAATGTGAGTGACTTAAATTTCCGGTATGTTCAGCTTCTGCATAAAGGCAGTTGCTCACCTTTGTCCTGCGCGTGTAACGCGTCTGTGCAAAGTGGCAGTTGAAAGGTGAAAGTTCAGAAAGGCTTCTGACTTGCTAAACACTCAGATGTGTAATTAGCACTCTTTTACTGGAGGATCAGAACACAGGAGACCGTGGAAGGAAGAAGTAGTATTTTTCCCTCGGAGCTAGTCACAGGTACTGTAGGATGAAACCAGCTAGACATACCTAACAGCTTCCTGCTGCTGGAGGTGTGATCTCCTTTGTGGATGCACGCTTCTGCTCTCCCTCCTGTGTCAGCTCTGCTGCTTGTCCCACCTGTTGGTGAGTGAAGTCACTGAAGCTGTGGCTTGGTGGCAGCCTGGGCTGATCCACCAGGCGGTTGCTGAGGCCTCTCTTGAAGCTCTTCTGCTCGCTAGAACCTGCTCCGACCTGTTCGGGTGCCTTGGCCAAGCAGAGAGCTATTTTTCTTGTTCTCTTCAGTGGAGAGCCTGCTGATTCAACTTGCTGGAATCATTCTGTACAGGTTCTGATGAGTGTTGAAGCTGGCGCAAGGGAAAGAGTAGGAACATGCAGCCGGAGGGAGGTAAGAGGCTATGCCAGCCAGGAGTTAGTTTGGCTCAGGTTGCTGTGAAACTGCAGCCTGAGAGCTGTTAGAGATCTACTCGGGTGGTGTTTTTTATTTAGTTGGTTGTGGCTTGTTGGTTTCATTGGGGTGTTTTGCTGGATTAGGGGGGGACTTTTTTTGCTGGTTAACGAGCTGAAGAAGCTTGCTTAAGCTCTAGCCAAGTGTCAGAGCTGATGTTAAAGCAGGGAATGAAAACTTGGAGACATGGGCAGAACCATCCTTGTCCATGGAGTGGTCATAGATAGCTCAGCAGACTTGTCTGACTGCCTGTTTTTACCCCACTGCACGTCATGGCAACGGAATTGTTTTCTCTGAATTCAAGAAAGCTTTTTAATTAGCGTGTTCTGGAAAACCTACAAAAAGATATTAAGTAGACCAATTTGAGACTCTTCTAATGAAATGATCATCCCTTTGAGAGAACGCTGATTGTTTGTTCATTTTTTTTCCTATATGTATAGTTTTTTTAAGTGATATGGAGGAGAACTAAGATAAATTCTTTAAAAATAGAGAAGAATAAAATGAGCTGTGTAGGTTCATTAAACTGAATCATCTGATCACCTGCTGTGGGAAAGGAAGCTAGTCTGCTGGAAACCTTTAGATTATTTTACAGCAATATAAATAAGTAAAATAACATGATCGATTTCACCCCCTTTGTTGCATATTTCTGTCACGTACATTATTGCTCTGGGAAGTAATAGAGAATGCTGGAATTTCACTGGATGTTTTGGTTTAGAATGTTAGTATTTTTATTTAGTTTGTCATAAAGCGCAAAAAAACCCAACCCAACCAACCAACAACAAAAAAACCAAACTAAAATCCAATTTCCCCATAGACTTACAGGTTCTCTCGAGTCTAACTTTGGACCTTAATCTGGTTTGCTTTCCTATTTTGACTAGCTTTTTATTCTGTGACTACTGACTAAAATATGCGGACTTGCAGGAAAGTTTATTGTGAATATAGTAAATCTTAGTTATGAGGTGCATTGGTTAATTATGTGTCCTTGCCACTGCATTAGGGCTGAGGGTTAATTTTAGTATTCTGATGTTATCCAAAGCACACGAGAAATTTTTAACGTATTCAATATCTATATTATTTCACTTTGAATTCTGGTCAGTGTTCCTTGAGAAATAATAAACCATTATGGATGTGGCAGATGTTTCCTTACTTAAAAATAAAATAGAATTACCAAATATAGAAGTCAATAATGAAATTTATTTGAGTTCATAATGAAGAGCTATTGTGATTTGCACTTTAATGTGTGGTTAAAAGTGCAGATGGTCAATAATACAAGGAAAGGCTTTGACTTAATTTAATATTGCTCTGTTTTACTTATCACAAATACTTGTCTGTGGTTTGTTCCCACACAGTGGCTGTAAATTTTGCACACGAGTTTTGCTGTGCTGACTGAAACATCTCTGAAGTCTTTTATTTGTTTCCAGCCCCCCCCGGCCCGTACCAGTTTCTCGCAGCATTTCAGATGTTTTCTGGATCTTTTTAAACTCTAGTGGGCTATTTTAGATTATGGGTGAAATAATGTCTTTTTGGTTGGTTGATTGGCTGAATACTTTAGGATTTTTCTTGCCAAAACAAGATCTAGTTCAGAGTTGGATCAATTCTTTACACTCCCACAACTCCCACATCAAACTGGCACTGACATGTTTTGGAAGCTGAGAACAATGAGCTGTGTCCAATATAACAAATTAAGCTTGAATGTTTCACTGCTCAACATGCTGAGAGGTTATGGGGGTACATTTGTGTTGTGGGTCCGATGAGATTCAGTGAACACTAATTTGCAGGCATTGTGCAATTTTTACAGATAAATGAAGAATTTCATACAAGAATGCTCAGTGGTTGTTCCTAGGTTAATGCAAAATATGTGGCCAGTCTTAAGAAGTAAAGAATAAGATGTTCTGAAACTCTTAATGAAGTTCTCAAGTCTGAGACTGATAAAGTGATGATGTCCTTTAGGGTTCACTGGATCATAACATGAACAGCTTGACCTTAGTACTTCCCAAGGGAATGCCAGTGACCCTGAGGCGGAGAGAAAGCATGATTAGGGAAAAGGTGGCCCTAAGAATTAGTTGCTGTGTTCTTAAAATCTTAACTAAATCTTACATTTAAGAAGCAGAAAGATCTGCATCTTAAGGTTCAGCTGAAAACTTCTTTGTCTGCATGCCTGTGTCCTTTACTGCTAATCTGGAAATTTTTCTGCTTCTCCATAGTGGGAGTAATATCATCTCTTATTCAGAAAAGAAAAAAAAATAATCCCAATAGAGCAGATTACCTGTCTTGAATAAATGCCTAAGGTCTGCCTAAGGTCTGCT